CGTTTCTCTCTTCCGCAAACGCATTTGCAGTTTTCCCATTCGTGGCCAAACCTTTCATGGTAGTTCCTAAAATCACCATGTCCCGTCCTCGCTGCGACCAAGTGGTGATGCGCCCACCTCGGAAGTGCTAGCTCTGGTGGACGTTTTCGTTTCATTCGGAGATCCAACTCCTCATAGCGGCTAGGTCTATGTTTTAGCCACCAGGATTCCACCGCTTCTTCACACCTTTGCCTGACAAACCGGCTGAGGGCTGCGAAGGTGTATTTAAGTCCGTCCTTAATTGTTGAGGGATCTGTAGTCGTTTCAGCCGGGAGTTTCCTGAAGGCTTCCTTCGCCAGTCTGTCTGCCTCCTCGTTCCCAGTGATCCCTGAGTGGGCTGGTATCCACCTGATTTCAACTGATCTGGCTCGTCGTACCAGTCTTGTGAATATGTCTACCACCGCCTGAGAAGATTTCGTTCGACCGGTTTGAAGAGCTCTTGCGGCTATGGAGTTATCGAGGAGCACTTTTATCGGAGAGCTGCCCGCTTTTCCTATCGCTCCTTCGAGGGCTTTTTGGGCGCCAAAGATTTCGGCATCGTACACCTCCGCCCCTGGCAGAGGACCGGCATCACTCCCAATCATCTGGCCTCCTTTGTATAAGATGTATCCCCACGCCGATCTAGCTGGTCCACATGATGAGCCGTCTGAGTAAGCGCAAACTGTCTCATCCCACAGGCTTGCTATCCATTGCTTAGCGTGAGCTGCTTCTTGCTGCTTGTCACCGCCAGTGAGCTGTCTGATGGGCTCAGCTTTTGGGAAATACAGTTTGCCGGGGCCCTCGGCCATCGGCATATTTTTGGCGCTGATCTGAAGTCGCGTGAGGTACCTTTCTGGGCACTTGAATGACCGGTTCCTCTGACCTATGCGGAGACCTAGGCGGCTTACTGTATCTTTTGGCTCCTCTGTAGACCTGAATGCTAAAGGATGCCACGCGTCCAACCTTTGAATCCGTGCGGCAGCTAGAATTTTTCTCTGCTGTAAGATAATAGCAGATGGGGGAATACCCGACTCTCTGTGTAGCGCCGTTTTTGGTGTAGTTCGCCACACCGGTAGCGCAGCTCGAACTGCCTTCAAGATAGTGCTGTCGAGGAGATCAGTGTGCCAGCCTACTCCTGTGCCAACCATTTTGTCCCGCTGGGTTGTGATTCGGGTGAGACCTGGCCACCACGCTTCGGCTCCATATAGTGCCGTACTTAGGACACAGGACTGCACTGCTTTAATCATCGGTCCCGGAGCTGCGCCATGCTGGACCGAATTTATCCGTCGTATAGACTGTGTTATACGTTGCGCCTTCCCGCACCATTCCTGAACGCGTTGCTTGAAGTTGAGTTGAGAATCTAGCCATACTCCCAGCCATCTCACGTACGGGGACGGGGCTATGCAGTGGCCTTGGATCTGGACAGCTAGACCTGTGGTGTTCAGCTTTTTCCTTGGCCCACCTCCAATTAACAGTAGTTCAGACTTTGCCAGGTCAAAGTCTTGTTATGAATGCGCTTTTCACATTAGTAGTAAATCGTCATCCACGTAGTGTGGCGCGCAGAGCCAGGGAAATGGAAACAGGTTAGTGATAAATTAGATACCACCGATCGCTACATTCACCCGTAGATCACTCCTAAAAGAGACTAGCTACGGCGCTATCTGGAAGTATGTGGGATTGGTTAATTATCATGAACATAACCTGTAACATAACATAATATAATAACACAATAAGATACCATTCGCATCCCGTAACATTATAAGCTATAATCACCCAAGTATATTCTAAGCCCCCTGAGTAGTCTTAACCATTTAATTGAAGATACCAAGTGTGTACAACCATATACATCACCACCCTCCAATAAGTCTATCTGGTTTTCGCTCGCTAATTGGACGAGTTTGTCGACTTCTTTCTGGGCTTCGGCCACTGCTTCAGACGCGGTGCTCCCTATGCTGAGTATAGCGATGTCGTCAGCGTACCCGAATTTTGTGCTCTTGTTTCCGTCTCGCATCAAGATTTCGATGTATAATAAAAACAGAAGGGGTGATAGCGGCGACCCTTGTGGGACTCCGCACTCTGCAACTTTGTCCCGCGTGGTTCCATCACGGTGTCGCACCCTTATCCTTCGTTGGGTTAGAAATGATTCTATCCACAGGCAAAGTATCCTTGGCCATCCCTGATTCCCGTGGGAGATGGAAGTTGATTGAGTTATCTCCTCAACAACTTCAACTGACCTGATCATGTCAGTATCGGGCTCAGTAACGGCGGGGAGGACTTTTCCATCCCTATGATCGAGGCCTTGCTCATCTCCACGCATTTTGAAAAATGGGCAAGGCCCGGCGTCTGTGCGCGAGTCCTCGGGCGGACTTCCGTGTTGTCCAACATGGCGTTGGGGTGCTTTTTTCTGACTGGAGGCATCTTTAGAAATTACCCGGGTTGAATAATAATTTTTGCATAGATCCAATTGATCACCTTAAGGGGGCGGGGGGAAAGGAAATAGTCAAAACTTTGACCTTCGAAAAATTGTGCGGGATTTTTTTTAGCAACCACCGCACTGCCATATGAGCTTCAGTACGAGTCGGTCCGCACTGGATCAGGATACTACCGTTTAGTACGTTAACCTCGTCCCACTCGAATGACCGAACCACCTCAGACTTCTCCTATGTGTTGCATCATACCAAGCCTGACCGTCCAGAAACCCGCTGTATATACGCCGTGACGCAAATTCCTCCTCAGCCTCGGCCACCACGCGCCCGAGCACTTGATATCCTCATTGACTCCGAAATATAAATGTAGTCCCATATCTCATCGTTGCTTTAGCCTTGCACCTTCATATCGCACGGTTGGGTTGTCGTCGTCATCGGGGATCTGAAATCCCTCCCAAAAGTGTGACTCCTTCGGTGTTTATCCCCTTTTTTTCCTTCTTTGTGTAAATCCTATTTATATCACGACTTTCCTCGTTAGGGCGTGCGTAGGTAGGAGGTGTAACGAGTGTGGGCGAGTTGTAGGTGTATGACTGACCGAGAAACGCTTCATCGCATGTATATTCTCAGCTTAGGAGATGTTGGATGTTCTATTACGACCCCCAGATAGACCTGGGCCCATCCGTGAATCGCGTTTTGGTGGTTACAAGTTTTTGTTCAATTTTCCTGCGGTTGAGAAGTCTCTGTCGAGTAATCTTTCCACCAAAATGTCGATTGCAACTCCTTCAAACTAAAAATCCATCAAAAAAATTTATCCTACACTTCCTCGTCACTTAATCTAGGCTTTGGAAGATTGCTTCATTCCCAAGTTCGTAGAGGACATCGCTGAGGTGTGTTAAGCCTTCGTTCTCCGCTTGCTGCCTAAGGCCCTTGATAATTCCTGTTTATTAACTCCTATCTTCATAGCCCCTATACCTGCCGGTGGGTGGAGTCTACTACATGTCCCAATCTTGTCTTGGCCTCTAGGGTACATGAAACTATCAAATCATATCACTGCGCCTATGTGGACACGAAGACATTTTAATTTGGCTCCACTCTTGCTTCCAGCCGGCAGATCATAATCACCGCTCAGGGCCCGTACTACTGCTGCACATGAATGACTTTACTCATCTACACCATTCAACGATCACACTGACCATTCCAAGGCAGCCGTCCGATCGCCCTCGAGTTACCTTAGACTACGAGAAATACCGATTGGAAAACAGCTGTCTCAACAAGCAACTGAGACTATTGAACTCGCCGTGTGCTCTGCTACAATTATCCCTCTACACACATAATGACAATTCCCACTAATAATTGAATGCAGCGGCTGCTAGCCCAATTTGAAATTTATTCCTTAACTTTCTTCTCTTTTATAGATAACAATATAGACACGTGATCATATTAGTCAGGAGCTGCTTCTGGCGCTAAAAATAAACTTAAGGAAACGGAGAGACTCAACCACGTCCCGTCATCGCACAACGTCGTAAATTCTTCAACACCGAAACCCTACAAATCGTCTGTCCCTGAAACAATGGCACAAGTATCGGGCCTTGGGGCTTTTTTTATTATAATTTTCCTCCTCGTCTTGGGATGCACCGGCTGGATCATCTACACCAACGTCCAAGCACGGCGCTTGGGTCTGCCCCAACCTACACTCTCTTCACACCTTCCATTCAGAAATCAATCAAGCAGCCCGGGCTCAGGCGGCTTCGGTGAAAAGGTAGTTGGGTGGGTCCACGATAAAGTGCATGTTTTCCGAAGGCGTAAGACTCAGGCAGGGGCCGAAGGCTACGCGGAACCGCTAAGTCGTAGTGGACGAGGCGGCGTAAACAACCGAGGCTTTGGACCTTTGGATCCAGATGATGCGTGGGATACGCGTGTGGGCACAGAAGCCGATCTTTACGGGCCGAGTGGATATCATGAAGAACATGAGTTGAACGCCCATCATACGTCCGGATCACCACCACGCTATGAAGAAGGCCGCAGGTCTGATTTCATCGGCGCCTCAGATGCATTCATTAGAGCTTCCGACGCCGGCCTAGATCGACGGTTCAACGATGATATAGCACCATCTCCAGATCCGTTTTCGGACTCAGCCAAGCTCAGCGATATTAATTTGAGAGATAACAGTCCGCCTGCGAGATCCCGTGCTTAACCTGAATTAGCTCAGGTGGAGAATAATTAAGACAGTTGGAGATGTAAGATTCATTACTCGCAGAAGACACCCAGGGATTATTAATGCATACATCATTTTGACGTTGGAGGTATAACTGCGGTAATGTCGACTGGGTGATATGTTAGAAGCGCCTTAAAAAGTGGGTTGGACGAATCACCAAAGGAAACTCTTAACCTGGTAATTTTGCTGTAGACTTTGGCTTGTCTTTGAGGTAAAAGGTCCGGGCCACCCATCGATCCTACATTTATTCTTTTCTTGAACCAACAACAGACTCAGACGTGCTTCTTTCCCTTGATTTCCTCATATTTGCATTCACGATATTATTAAAACTTGGCCCGACCATGGCAGCTCTTGATCTTCAAGTGGTTCACGACCAGCTCGTCAGTATCGCCCTCGAGGCCGGACGCATAATGCTTTCTGCAGAGTCATCTCGTGCAGCCTCTGCCACGAAAAAAAATTGTGAGCAATAGTTCTAAAATTCTCTCCAAATCTCACTAATCCATCTAGCTACCGACCTAGTTACTGAGACGGATAAAGCGGTTGAGAAGTATGTGTCGACAAAGTTGCACTCTATTTTCCCTACTTTTAAGTTCATTGGCGAAGAGACGTTTTCTCCGGGACAAAACCTAACAGATGAACCTACTTTTATCGTCGACCCCATAGATGGTACAACCAATTTTATCCATAATTTTCCATTCTTCTGTATCTCGCTCGGGTTGGCCGTCGAAAAAGTTCCAGTTATCGGGGTCATCTACAATCCGACGCTCGAGCACCTTTACACTGCATTCCAAGGCAATGGGGCATACCTGCAAATCGGGAACAATGCCAAGAGAAGGCTACCCCTGAGAGAGGCCGAGCCACTAAACGATCTCTCTACCTGTCTGGTCGCTGCGGAGTGGGGCAGCGATCGCTCCGGGGCCAAATTTGAGCTTACAAGCGATGTCTTTAAGAAGCTAGTAAGTGCCAAAGAAGATGGTGGTTCTATGATACATTCCATGCGCAGCATCGGGTCTGCAGCGCTGAGCCTTGCATCGGTTGCTGCGGGACAGAATGACGTGTATTGGAGTGAGGGGTGTTGGGCGTGGGACGTATGCGCTGGTTGGTGTATTTTAACTGAAAGTGGAGGTATCATGGTTGGTTTAAATTCGGGCGAATGGGAGTGTGAGATTGAGGGCAGAATGTACCTCGCTGTTAGAGGAGCTCCTAGCGGCCAAAAGGCTATTATCCAACAGCTTTGGAGAGTTAAGAGGGAAGTTGAAGAGAAGTTGGAGTAACAGCCGTGACAGGTAGAGTTTAGGGTACAACCTAGAAATGGCTCGACCTTTTGGATGCAATCTCTCATTTATCTGACAATTCTGGAGAACAGATGTGCCGCGGAAGTGCATAACAGATTCTCGTGAACATTTACACAACCCCAGATGCCTGTGTTAACACTTTAATTATTTGATCGCCGCACCTTATAGATAAGCTGCCGACATGCCCCAACATGCCTCAATAGTTAGGTAGACCAATGGATTGGACAGAGGAGACGCTGTGCAATTGGATTCGTGCATTAGACCAAGGACCCTAGGTTCGCATGTAACCTCTATCACAGAGTACCTAATGAGTCGTTAATTCCGCCCTCCACATGTTTTACTCAAGCCACAAACACTTTGATCGTTGCCGCCTCAACACGAAATAAAAATCCCTCAAACAACACTCTACTTCAAAGGTGATGGGCATCCCGGCCGTTATGAAAGGCACAATCATTCCGGGCTATCACCAGCATGAAGCCAGATAGGCCATATAGAGTTACTTGCGCGGGAATTAAACACAAGTGACGGCAATATGCACTTCTGGGTGATTTAGGCAACTACTCACATACTCTCGCCTGTAGTTTGTGCACGCTTGTCTCTAATTTCCCCGCGACCGATGTTTTGGGCGCGGGCGAGATGACTCTTCCGACGGAAAACACTCACACTCGGGATTTCAGATTCAAGTCACGGTGCTGACTATGTTTTTGGGTATTTAATAATCGACACCCTTCTGTGAATTTCCAACCAGGGTTAGTTTCAAGTGCTTGGGTTGTCCAAGCGAGTCTTCGTCATCTCGTGCACGAGCACCGCGACGATCTGCTCGAGCCTTCCTGCATGCAAAGTGACCATCGTTGTCTCGCGTGGTTTGGCTGTCCGGGCAATGCAGGTCCTGATTTGGAGGCCACTCCGAGTGGCTTACCACTAGACCACTGAGGCACGTGTGTCCAGCATTCATGCCCAGTTTCTCCAACAAGTCTTTTGCCTTTGAAGCACTTAAGTGTATGCAGTTACGTGACTACAGCGCATGATCAGCGCTATCACTTTGCTTCATTACACTACTCAAGTCATCGACAATAAAGCTTAATGGGCTCCTCCCTGACTCTGACCATATCTTGTACGGTGCTACTATTCTCTTCCGCAACCTCATAGGTTTCTGATATGTTCATCAGTGCTATATGTACATGTTGGATGACTCTAATGACTGTGGAGACAGTTGTACTCTGCGTTTCATTTGCAAGTGCCACTAGACAATGCGCTTGCTTGTCCTGAACAGTCGACTCTCCGTAGGTGCCCACCATGCAAAAATTACCGAGAACCCTGAGTTTTCCAGCCATGCCTCCGTCATCTTTTAAATTATCTCCACGCAATATGTGATATGAGGTGTCTCTTTCCCAAGTGGAGTAGGTGCCCAGGCTACTCAAACCATACCAGAGAACACCACCAGGAGGCGGACCACAACACCTTCCATCTTTGGCTTGTGTTTACAGTGTCAGCTGCACTCTCGCAAGCGAAGTCATGGCGCGCACAAATGGCCGGTCCTCGTCGCTAACTAGCTAAGGATACTTATGCTTCCTGTCTGGCCTATCATTTTCTGGCACCACTTATTGCAAGCCTTTATTCCATCGTTCATTAGTTAAGATAATTCTGGAGAATTAATTAATCACATACCAAAGTGGTGAAAGACTCCTAGGTTCAAATTATTTTAATTATTATATCTACCCTTTCTTGATCTAGGACTACATGAGACGCGTAGGTTCCACCTGCCCTCAGGCCAAGGATACCTATGCGAGATATACATTCTCACTTGTGTCTGGCGCACAACTTCAATCAAACAGCAGCTCTTACTAATCCTCGTTTGATCATGTACTCTTTTTTTTTTTTTTTTTTTTTTTGCATCAGATTTTAATTGCGTATGCAGCTATCTAGCTATGACACAATATCGGAGAAAAGTACAGAATAGATGATTCAACGTAGAGGAAGAGCACTCATGCCTCGGATTTCATTTGCAAGTACCACTGCGAAGTTATGGCGGCTTTTTCTTCACCCCAAGTCAACCCTCATCCGTGAATACCCACCCAGGGGAACGTCTCAAAAACCCTGAGTTATCCAGACATGCCTCCATCATCTTTCAGCTTTTCTCCGCGCGAAATATGATCTGAGGTGTCTCCTTCCCAAGTGGAGTAGGTGCCCAGGCTACTCAAACCATACCAGAGAACACCACCAGGAGGCGGACCACGACACCTTCCATCGTTGGCTTGTGTTTATAGTGTCAGCTGCACTCTCGCAAGCGAAGTCTTGGCGCGCACAAATCCCAATTCGTAAAACTCCCTGCCAAAGTTCGGAATCTCACGCCCTTCGAGGTTGTATCCTTCCTTCGCATCACCTTGTAAACTTGTCCTGATCCCTCTCACGTCCATCCCAAATAACTGTCTCCCAGATTTGTGCGCCACGCTTTGCTTCCTCCGTCGGGTATAAATGTCGGCGTGGGCGTGTACTTGATGACCGGCTGAGGCCAGAGAAAGTCGACAACAGGTGTGGTCATTGGGATGAGGATGTACTTGGTCGTACTTGTAGACTTGATGAGACTTAGATAGGCGTCGAACTCGTTGGGAGCGGAAAAACGACGTGGAGGAGCAGTTTGAATCATTGCCTCGTGTGCCAACTTCTTTGATATTGCGAAATTTGACTGAACTTGGCTCTGGGAGAATATTTCACTCCCGTTTGAGCACTTAGGGTTGCCCGGAAAGCTTGCGAAAATTACTGCGTGCTGACCTCCTTTATCAACGACATCAGCACCTAAATCGAAGATCTACCAACCTCCCGGGACGTATCAAGAGTTTGGTTAGCGAAGTGCTGCAGAATTGTATGTACCTCAACTGAAGGATTTTCTGCCCTCCTGGCGACTCGAGGTAAATCGAAGGTCGTATAGAATCTCTTGAAAAGCTTTGATTAGAGGGTGGGTTGTGAAAAGTCTGGTCTACCTTTCATGTGCCGTCTCGAGAGATTGCGAACGCTGTAGATGAGTTACAGTGCTGGGCTCAATTTCGGCTTGGCGAAATCTACAGTGAGAGACGGAGGTTGAAAGATATCCCGGTGACACGTGCTGAGTCTTTATCCCCCGGGAAAACCCCTTATATCTATAGAGAATCTAATTGTGTCCCAAAATCAACTTTATTATACATGTTTAGAGCTATAAGCCACCCGTAACTCACATCTCTAAAAAGCCATGATTATCCTCCGCTTTCAATGAGCCGGGGACCGCTGCAACGCTCAGTAGAAGTAATGGATTGAAGTGGCTGAAAGTCTGAAGCCGCTACTTCGTACGCCAAATCCCGTATTGCCAAAATTGACGCCCGGGTCTGAGAGAACATCTTGCTACCAGGCTCATTGGGTTTATTACCTACAGATGTTCATTTTTCGTCTTATGCTAAATTGGTCTTCGTGCCAGTGCTTAATAGCTCAGTTAATTAAGATTACCCCACGTGCCACCACTCTTGAAGATACCCAACCAAAAATAATCCTCACACTTGGTGCCTACCGCGCAATAAATAAAACATGACCTGGGATGGGAGCGCTCTATGCCATTCTCTCAAGTCATCTCTCTCACCCACTCCGACTGCTAAGCATATATCCTACCCAACGCAACTTGCTCTGTCATCTTCATTAAACATATTTCCCTTGTATTCCATGAATGACTACCTCTATATATTCTTACAGGGATCTGCTTAAGTTAATGATCCAAAATTATGTTTGTCTTGCTGTCATATTTATTAGAAGGTAAGAGGTTGGAAAGAGTGTCGCAAGTCGTGCTCTACTAGTGAGTTTGCTTGATGGGGAGAAAGTGCTGAACAGCGGAATACTGAAAGATGGATATGGTACTCAATAGATCCAGAGATAAGTTTGGTTGGTGGTTGTACATTGCACTTTGGGAGGAGTTATTTTACTCTTGATGTTTATGGGGTGCGGGGTTTTCACCAAAAAGAACGGACATAACTTCTTCTGCACGACAAATCGTCAGGAGACTTTCGATATGCTGTCTCAGGAAGGGCTGCACTTTGGTTCTTGGGAATTTCACTCCAAGGTTCTTTAGAGGTGGCTCTGACGTACATTTAATCTTTGTGTATCTGGTAAGAGTAAGAATTGAAAAGAATCAAGCGCGAGTGTATGTCCTTCGTTAGCAGCCGGGATCGCTTAAAGGTTGACGTCAATCTTCGAGTCATTCGTACGGTTCAGTAAATTGTCGCACATTTGACGGTAATACCGCGTTAAGACAAGTAGGTATACATCTACTCCAAGCCCGAAATTCCTCTGGTCTGATGCTAGTATTATGCCCTTGAGGCGTGGAATAGACAGTTTTAGAGTGTCAATGCGACTATGCATCAATTTTTGGTTGTGCAATGCCTTGGTCGCTTGTGATGCATCTGTCCATTGCTCTGGGTCTAGCGCATCCAATGATAACCCTTGTTCTTTGTAAGCAGAGGCCCATAATGCTGAAGCATGTCGGTCACTTCAATCAAAGACGATCTCACTACAGAGCTACCAGTACCGTTCTGATACAATTGGAGAGTGCGGCAAACAGATGGCAAATTTGCAAACACTCACTGTCATAGTTGGTTTGTGTAGCTTGATTGGGGTTGGACTGCGCCTAGTTGTCAGGAAGCGTTTTAATATTATGGCAATACTAAGGTAATAGCCATTTGACAATAATACACTAGTCTCTTTTCGAACTAGCGCCCTAGGACCTCAAGAATTCAGGGACACCGCGAGAGTCATGGGAAAGGGATACTCCGTGTTGGGAGGCCGATCCCTCATCTAATATTGCCAGGCACAAAGCTAGATGCCATGTTTTCAATCCTACATCTCGTAGCAAACTCTCACTATCAAACTCTTCAAGTATTCAATTTCGGGAGCGAGCAAAGATGTCCGAAATCTGGGCCGAATCTTGAACAAATCGATAAGCCCATGGGTACGACTGACGAATGGCATTACCATATGACATCCAATACAGTTTTAATTGAAATCCATGCATCGAACCAATGTCCAATGGTTCATTTCATGGCTCAGCCAACTGACTGACGACGAGACTGGGCTCTCTTTGTGGAGTTGTTTCAGCAGCCCCACATGGAACTCTCAACACCCATTGGAAACCCCTCATCCTTCAAGCCGACATGTCCAACTTACGATGGCAATAGTGAAGCAGAATGAGATGGTAGACACAAAACTTGGCCATGTCGGCTCAACAGGAAGCTGAGGCATGGTAGACACATCCGTCTTCCGCATGGTTTAGGACTTAACGTAGAAAGCAATTGACAGCTTTTGCTCGTCTGAAGGCTTCTGCGCTATAGGGCCAGATAAGATTAGGACAACTACTATGGTGTAAATTCCGGAATAGCCGTTGCGACTTGAATATTCTGGAAAACTTGCATGCATTGTCTCACTGCAAGTCCAGCGACTGAGAGCACTCACAATGTCAAACCCCGGCCACGGCATACCCAAGGTATCGAAATTACTGTAGCCATCTATCCTTCCCATTTACAGCTGCCACTTTTGCCCCAGTGGCAAACTCTCATCGACTTTTTGGGTTAATTATTCGTTGGACTTCCATATACAGCTGCAAAGGCACATGCTATTTGTGCGCTATGCCTTTTATCTTTAAGTAACAGTACTTTTTCACAACAGTACCTTCCAAATCAAGCGCGATTTCCGTATTAGTGTAGTTACTGATATGACAGATCACTGTGGGGAAGTGACTGTTGTGAAATACATCTGCTGTGAAAGTACTTCTAAGCAGGACCGTGTTAGTTTAGGAATGGCACATTGACAAGGGTATGCTTAAGTTTGGTCATAGGTGTGTACCCACTGTACAAAATTTCCTGCACCAAACCAACCCTATCTCATCTTCAGTCTGAAATATCAACCCACAAATATATAGATATTTTCAACGTGGAACAATGGCTTGCTGGAAACAAACTATCTCGTGTGTTGCTGAGGATATTAATCAGGATCGTTAAGACGCGCCCCCCCATTTAGATACGTGTAATTTATCATTTTATCTGCTGGATTGGTTTATTTAATTTAATAAAATGCTTTTGAGTCGAAGACTATCATGGGCAGATAAGACTATCTTATTATCACTTTCATTGAATTTTTCCCCTACTTGACAGTAAACAGTAAGATTTTGTCCTTGTTATCATTTTCCACCTAAACCTGTGCTCGGGAAGACAGACTATCGCAAGCAGGTAGATAGTGTGACTCGGCAAGACCCACCGATTCCAGAGCTAGAATTAAGAAACTTGCAGACTTTGAGAATTCGGTAGTTGTGTCGCATGGATAAAATATATCAAACTTGAATTATGGTCAGTCGTGGGCCGATAGCAGACTCTTCACGTTGTATCGCTCAAGACCCCTGTTTTTATGGCCGCACGCACTGCGACGCGACGCGTAGCCATTGAGACCAGGCTTGCGAGGCTTTATTTTCAAGCACCAAGGGTGTATCAAGATTCCATCAAGGGAGAGAATAAGTGAAACTGGCAAGGGCGAAAAGCCTACTAGTTAATCAAAGCATCCGGCATCTTCGGCAACATCATCGATTCTCGGGCATAATCAGAACACTATCCCCAGCAGTGCGATCAGCTTAGTCCCTGCATTCTTAGACGCAACATCAGACTATCTAGTACGTCGATTAAATGTATTCACTCCCTCCAATCCCAAATTATCAGGCAGTATGACTATCATCAACGTCATCAAGGGCATCAATCTATAGTTGCAGTCACAAATTGACGTAATGATACAGCTTTATACTCATCCTACAGGTCTGGTACTTGGTGAGCGATGCAATACTTGGATACCAGAAAAATCATCTTCCATATTCAATAACGTGAGAGTTGTTAGCCACGGCCATTCTTTTAATGCTACAAAACGATTACGATTATTTTCAGAGTAAAATCTGATGCCGCGCGCGATTTAACCACTACCCAATAAAAACCGCTAAATTTATTTGCCAACAGAATTTTCTACTTGTAGCTCCGGCTCGATATCACATTCGACTAATGGCATGGTGCCGAATTATCCCTGTGACAAGTCTTGAACATTTACAACCACCACCTACCCGATAGGAGATGGAGGTTCAGTTGAAACCAAAGATGTTTGAGAAAATCCTCGTCCGGTCTCAGATGGGCTTAGAGCCAAGATGACCCACACTTCACGATATTGTTTCAGTCTTATCGGGCTAGGAAACCCTGAATCGTCGTGGAAACGTCGAACTTGACGAAATTTCAGTCTCAGGTTGCTCTTCATTTCGTCCGTAATTTGAAATATATGTGACAGCGGTTCGCTACTTTTCAGGATTAAATCTTCATTTCTTTCATCCATCTTTCCTTGCTGTACTAATCTGAAGCTGAAATATAACCGCTATAATCTGATAAACTCGCCGGACGGGTTATCTTGCGGGAAAGATATCTAATATTTTAATAATAATATGTCAAAAACTAGAGACGAGTCTCATTTAGGATCAATATCTCAACAAAAACCTCAACCAATGTCCAAAACAACAATAAAATCTAAACAGAATGCATCATGGCCTAAATTATACCCAGTAGTAACTTTACTTTCTCTTATAGCCGGAATTTATATATTTGTGCCGATAGGCACATTCTCATTACGGACTACCTTCTTATCTCCCCAGACTGAGCAAGTACAAAGATTGCCAACCCAATTTGAACAGCTACATCAATCATCATCTAATGAAGCGAAAGAGGTACTCGCCGAGACTTTAAGGTTATTGCACGAGTTGCTCACCGAAATTAACAGTGGTACGTTCCCTCTCGGTGTTCAACTTTCTGAAACTAAGCAATATTTAGATAACGATGATTCCAATGCCCTAACAACCAATAAGAAATCTAACTCGCTTATGCCCCGAGGAATTGTATCCGAAATTTCAGGAATTCTACAAGGTGCAGTTACTGGTGCTCTTAGCGGTGAACTCGAGGATTCTATCGGAGATGCTGCAAAGGTAATTGAAACTTCTTTATTTTTTGTTACCACTGACGGAAAATTTAGTTCCTCGGAATGGGCCTCGGTGGTGGGGCTGTTACTGGCTTGTTAAATAGTACTATGGGAGGGGCAGCTCTCAAAAAAATGGCACCCGCTACCACGAAGGCTACAGGATTGAACTTGGTCGCTCAAAATCTAGGCGAGGGACTGAGTTCATCTGTCGTTGGATCGGTCAATATTTCAGCATTAGCCCCTGCCGCACCAAGTGTAGACACGCTATTACCAGCCTCTCGAGCACTTGCACAAGGAATTGGAAGTGGTGCAGCATCTGGCCTTAAACTTAAAGCAGTTGATCCCAATGCTTTCAATAACACTGGTATTCCAGGCGTTGCTGGAAGCTTCGGGCAAGGCTTAACAATGAGCTTCCTCGGAGGAATTGATTTCAAGAAGGCAGCTGCCATGATGGCGCCCAACGTTAGCTCTGTGCAACTTAACTCAGCTGCGCTATCTCTCGCTCAAGGATTAGGTAGCGGAGCTGCGTTTGGCGTAAAATTGACGACTAAACCGCCTTCAAACACATCCTTCAACACTGACGGAATTAATGGTGTTGCTGGCAGTGTAGGTCAAGGGTTAACAACAAGCTTCCTACAAGATATTGACTTCAATCAACTGAAAATGATGGCTGCTACAATGGCACCTAATATCAGCTCGGAGCAAATTAATACAGCAGCGCTTTCTCTCGCCCAAGGTCTCGGTAGTGGAGCAGCATTCGGAGCAAAGTTATCTACCACACCGCCAGCTCCTAACACTTTCAACACTGACGGAATTAACGGTGTTGCTGGAAATATTGGTCAAGGACTAACGACAAGCTTCCTCCAAGAAGTTGACATAAACCAGCTAAAAATGATGGCTGCCACAATGGCGCCTCAGCTCACCTCGGCTCAAATCAACACAGCAGCACTATCTCTCGCCCAAGGTCTGGGAAGTGGAGCTGCCTACGGAGCGAATCTATCTGCCACGCCACCTCCTAACAACACTTTTAACACCGACGGAATTAACGGTGTTGCTGGTAATGTAGGTCAAGGATTGACGACAAGCTTTCTCAAAGGAGTTGATATTAATCAGCTCAAAATGATGGCTGCCACAATGGCACCTCAGCTCACCTCGGCTCAAATCAACACTGCAGCCCTATCCCTCGCCCAAGGTCTCGGTAGTGGAGCAGCATTTGGGGCCAAGTTATCTACTAAGCCGCCTTCAAACACCACTTTCAACACTGATGGCATTAATGGAATTGCCGGTAATGTAGGTCAAGGATTAACGACAAGCTTTATCCAGGAAGTTGATCTTAATCAACTGAAAATGATGGCTGCTACAATGGCGCCTCAACTTACTCAGGAACAAATCAACACTGCAGCCCTATCCCTCGCCCAAGGTCTCGGTAGTGGAGCAGCATTTGGGGCCAAGTTATCTACTAAGCCGCCTTCAAACACCACTTTCAACACTGATGGCATTAATGGAATTGCCGGTAATGTAGGTCAAGGATTAACGACAAGCTTTATCCAGGAAGTTGATCTTAATCAACTAAAAATGATGGCTGCGTCAATGGCACCTCAGCTTACCCCGGCCCAAATCAATACAGCCGCTCTATCACTTGCTCAAGGACTTGGGAGCGGAGCAGCATTTGGAGCAAAATTGACAACTACACTTCCAAATAACTCCTTCAACAGCGATGGAATTAATGGAATAGCTGGTAATGTTGGTCAGGGTCTATCTGCATCATTTATCAAGGACATTGATTTCAAGGCTCTTGCAGGCTCTGGTCCAGGAATTCCACGACAACAAATACTAGAAGCAGCTCAGGGCTTAGGCTCAGGTCTAGCAGAAGGAGCAGTGGTAGGTGTTGGTCTCCAACCTGACACTTCCATGACAAACCCCAAAATGGATACGGGAGGTATGGGAGAGATAACCGAAAATTTCGGAAGAGGTCTCACACAATCTTTCCTCTCCAATGGCACCCTATTTAAGGCGATGGCTTTACTCATGCAGCAGCCTAAGACAGGCCCTCAACTCAATGTTATGGCAGTTGCAAAAGGCTTTGCAATGGGTCTTGTGGATGGCGCGCAAACCAGTGTAGACAATGCTGGCGGCCTTGGATCAGTCCTCAAAATGAGTCCACAAGTCAGCAATGAGATGTCAGGAAACTCCATGAACATGACTGGCTTCGACGATTCTGTTGGCGGCGCTGCGATGGGTTTTGGGAGTGGACTCGGTCTTGAAGCTACTAGAGGTGTTCTTCAAGCCTTAGGAAAACCGCCGATGAATGTTCCTGCCATGTCCAACGCTGCAAGCAATCCCTCTGGATCGACAGCAGGAGCTGCGCCCGAATCTAGCCCGGCTATGCCAAGTAATATGACTGCAGTCAAACTCCGTAGGCGCCAGGATGCCACGATAACAGCATCTTCAATTAGCGCAAACTTAACCGCAAACGGTCCAGTATTTGACCTTACCAACTTAAATGAAACGATAAATCCTCTTTTACAAAAAGGATCCAACATAATTGGGTGTCAAGGGATTGGTGGATTGGCGGCCGTCGCTATTTCTGCTTTTCTTAACGCATACTTCCGGGGGCAGATTCAGCTTAGTACACTTCAAAACTCTGCAAATAGCCAGACTACGGCTAAAATCGCCGCTCTTATCAATCAAACTTTCCAGTTCACCGACTCTAGTGGCAATAACTTTGTAATCAATATCAAGGAAATGCTTGTTCTTGTAAACGGAAACTCATTGCAAAAGGAAATCGTAGTTCTCGTCGGACACAGTAAGTTTCCCCAAAAAACCATCTCCTCAAAAATCTAATCTTTTCTAGTTCTTCTGGCCTGTATAGCATTCGCTCTAGTCATTCCCATTATTCTTATCATTAACTCTGTTCGCAATTTTGCCGTTACCACAGGCAACCCTGGTGTGCTGAGTAACTACTCCAAGATCCAGAAAATTCTTGCTATCGCTGTAGTACTACCACTAACTCTCATTATACTGATCCTCGGACTTCTTGGCGAGGGTGGTGGATCACACTTCGCATCTACTCATAGTATCACAGGCCTGCTATTGATCTTGCTGACTCTCGCGGCATTCCCTCTTTCATTCCTTAGGGAAAACTCGAAGCAAATGAAGCTGGCTTTCAATGCGACTGTCGTCATCATAATCAATTTAATCATTGTGGCGTTGATCACTGGATTTAGTGATCTCTCCACGATCTCATCTTGCGTTCTACAATTCATTCCGCAGTTTGTCCTTGTTTTTACTGGTTTTATACTTACAGCGCCTCTCCTCAACGCCATAACACTCCTTACTATGGAAACTATCATTCAAAGATGGAAAAAAACTGGCGGCCAAGATGCTCTTCGGGCGGACTCTTTGTTGGGAAATGAAAAAAGTAACATGGACAAGGGAAGTTTTATGAGAATGTAACATTAAATCGACGTATTGTTCCGACATCATTACCTTCAAGTCTATCGATGGCATACCCACGAGGGTGTAACTACGAGGTGAAACTTTTATTGAAGAGAACAATCTAGACTACTGAAACATTTCCTTATTGTAACTTTAATTTGACCACAAGATCTACTTGGTCTAGCTAACTAGCTCATCTATCTTACATTTCACTTCTTTCCATCTTTAATTCTTTTGTCTGTCTGAGCGTTATTCACTATGAAATACTGTATGTAGAAGGAGTTTAAATTATGATTCCAAAAAAGCCTAATTTTGCCGAGACAAACCCAATATTCGATTGACTTTACTGATGTTAAGGTAGCCTTTCAACTCTATGGGTAGTGTCTTGGCTTGAACGTTACAATATTTAAGCCGAGGTCCGAATTGAATGATACACAGGCGTAATTACAATTCTTTTGTCAGTCTATGGATACTAAATACGTGTGCTTTTTCTACCTTCAGTCTTAAGTTACCTAAACTTTGGGTAGTAAGTTCTCTCAACGCCCCATTTAATGCCCCCTTCCAATAGTCTTTAATTCGATGTCACACTTAGAGACGCTTTTTCTCCTTTATTGGCTCCCCTCCCTAAGCGACGGGCCGAAGATAATTTGCGAATGTACGATAGCCGAAAGAACTTGCAATTACTGAGTGCAGCCCCTCCACATTGCCGACGTTAAGATTGAATCTGAAGAGATATCAATTTTTGAAGCACTCCATGATGGGGACTAGCGAGTGCTGCAGACGTGTATACTTAACGGGAATCAAACTCGGCCTTGCTGGCCTTGATTCAACACCTTCTACTATTGGCGCCTCGAGACGAACTTGAAGTCCTTTGAGCCATTAGAAATGTCTTCATAGAGAGGGTTTACTGTAATGCAGTCTGGCCCAACTCTCTAGCGCTGCCTTGGGCAGTGGACAATGGCATGGACACGATGAGGGTAGAAGCACCTATCCCTAGTGCTGCGCACAATGTCGGCCCAGCAGAACGTGTGGTGAGAGCTAGAGGTTTGTAGAAGACAGTGTTGGCAGGAGTGGAGCTTTCATCCTTTGCAGGTTAACTCACCTTGTATGAGCACTGGGAATGGCTAAGCTAAAAGTTATCATAGCCCTCCCTTTTTGCCCTCTAGAGCGCCTACGACGCGCCCAGTTGGGGACGGAGTCTAGTAATAGCAGCTACTGAGGAAGTGAGCGATAACTTTGCAGGCAAGAGGGGTGATTGGATGACCCATGGACACTTGGGCTTGGCGGAATTGGGTGAGAAGGGACGGCGGCGAGCAGATTGCAAAGCTAGTTTTTCTTTAGTCCACGGCGCGTCTTCTTATTATTCCTGTGTTTCTCGCTGTCTAGGAGAGAACATATAAGTTACCATGGTTAAATAAATTAAATATAGGTAGTTTCTTTCATGTAGGTTCTAGAAGTCCTTCATAATCATAGACTCGGATAGGACTGTAATAACATCTAATCTAGCTATGACACGATATCAGAGGTAAAGTACTCAACAGATGACTTAATGTAAAAGAAGAGCACTCATGCCTCGGATTTTATTTGCGAGTACTTCTGTCGGGCAACCTGCGGCCCATGGGAAAATGCAGGTGGGAAGTTGATGCGTCTACACTGCAGCGACAGTCCCCAAGCAACGGCGAGTTTCATACATGCGCCCTGCCCTTGCAGCAACGGGGCGGCGCGTGGCGAGACTAATTGTGAGCCGATACCAATTCCGAACTTACGAGGGCGCTGCCTCCATCGCGACTCGCAGGGTTTCCGACGGTAGAGTCCCTCATCCATGGCCGCTTTCCATCTTAGTCCTCCGCAGCGTAGGAAAAGGAGACACCTGGGGTTTGAGACCGACGTGTCCTCTAGAACTTCTAGCTTCTCGACACGAGATTATGTATGGTGCGGTGCCGAGGGCTTGTTACAGTGTGGTGTTTTGAGTTTTCTAGGCATGCATCAACGGTCAAATAGTGGGCTACGCGTCCTGCCCCTGGCCGTCATGTCCCTCACACCAAAGCCGAAACAGAGATGGCCAGAAAGGGGGCCAAACTCTTGAATACCGTTAGAGCGACTCCAACCTCTGAGTTGTGCCCCGACCGAAATTGAAGAGCCGCACATCATAGTCCCCTTGATGGGTACGAAGCTCCGACAAATTGGAATTCTTATCTAATGATTTTCGTGTCGTAGTGCGGGTGACAGAAGGAGACACGGAAATTAAACAGTCGATACCCTGTGTAAACATCGAACTGAGCTACATCTAGTCTGAGGCCTCGTCACACTTAGTCTTGATGTTTTTTTATTCATAGTGTACACCCTACATGTTGGTATTTTAAAGCCACGAGGTATTCGTAACCCACGCCATCAAATAACTAAGCTTATCTCACCTTCCACCCATACTAATCCACCAGGAACCTCAGAAGCGCCATGCAAATGAAGAGCGAGACAATTGCCTTCCACTCCGCTCGGCGCGAAGAGTCACGCAAGTGTGACCTCCGCAACACCTTGCCCATTTGTCACCGCCGTATACCCCATGCTCAACCACAGTCATTATCATATTGGCAAAAGGGGAATAATGAGGCAGGCCGTGGGCCAGTCATTTGACGTTGTCACGAAAATCTCTCAGCACGCCGCAAGATCTACGTGGTAGATAGAACCTGAAGGATGATTCGAGTCTTATCTATTGCCCGGCTGAGGAGACGAGGTGATATGGTCGAAAGAAGGGAGAGGTTTAGCAAAATCAAGGAGAGGATAGCACAGAAACTACGCTGCTTAACAATCATCCTGAGATTCGAAGTAACTACGCCATATGTGCTGAGCCAGATTGTATGAGCGAAGTCACTTTGGCCCGAAACCCAATCTTCTCGATACCGGCGTCGTCCTAATCACACCTATACTAGGATACTAGAATTATCTATTCCAACCTCCAGCCGGCATGACAACCGTAGAAACCATGGCCAAGACTTAGCTATGCTTATTCTTATAACCTAATCTCCCTAGGTATCCTCACTCTGCAGTAATTTAAGTTAGTTCCTCAAAGACTCTTCTCCCATACCCTTCCAGGAATATTATATCCAAGACATGGCGCAATATCCCCGATAACCAGCAAATATGTTTTCCAAACGACCGGCCTAGGGTTGGATGTCACGAATCATTTCCCAGGAAGAGTATCCTTCAAACTTGCAAATGCAGAGATCCCTTGAGCTTATACTGCATATGCCCGTACGGCAAGGGTGTAATCTGGGGCCAAGACAGTTGTGAGACTTATGTCGGCAGTTTCCACTTGGATGCTCAGCTGAACCACAGGTTATGCCGACAAAATACCGTCTAGATACAATAAATTAGGTATTGGTCCTAATACCAGGATCACCATTGAGCTCGCCCGTCTGGGGCAATGCGCATTAGAATATCCTCTAGCTGCACGGTCCCGTCACGGCGACTTTGCGGACTACCACCGACGTTTTCAGCATGAAAATGCCACCCTTACCTACTCATGCGGAGAAGAGAAGTCCCCCGACCACTTTCTCTATTGCAACCTCGGGCTGTACCAGGTAGAGCTCTACAGGGCTCAGATTTTCAATCCCACAACATCTTGGGCTTTTGCTATAGCGGAGGGAGTTCATGCATTCAGTAGCTGGGTGCATGACACAAACTTTTTTCGAAAAGCACAACAACAAGTCTGACGAGAATGAAGTCGTATAATAAAAGCGTGAGAGCTTTAAAGCGACGCAACCAATATTTCTCGTTACTAATTTTATTTCTTTGCTTTATTTTCTCCATGGAATAATATCTGCAAATCATGAGAGACAACGGGAGGCTGATATTCATGTTTAATTAAATCTTCGAGCACAGGATAATAAGATACTGGTTTTCATTTGCTATTTTGAGTCTATGTAGACGCCAAAACTTCGGGTAGTTTTATTTATTATTTATCATTGTTTAACGTCGCGCTAGCTCAGAACATAACCGTAAGGTCTCATGTTGGCCAGCTCACGTCGGGTAGTTTTATATAGACTGGTGTTTTGTTATCCATGTAACTTAGCATGGTACATGCTTTAGGTCACGTCATAGCAGATTCACGTGACTGTGGAACTAAACCGTGGGGTGTTTAGTTTGTAATGCCAGTGTGGGTATTATCGACCTAACTAGAACTCGATAGAATAGAGATAATGAAATCAGCGACAGACTGATGGACTGAGGGAGAACGAGATACTCATTTCTCGGAGGAGAGAAATGATTTCGCAAGGGAATGTTCTTGCACTAGGCTGTGAACAACACAGTAAGTCTGGAGCAAGATATGATGAGATCTCAACCTTCGTTCATTCTTTGTAACCAAGTTTCCTTTATATGAGAATACAGATAAAAATCTTAGACACCACGAGAACACACGCGATAGCGATTAACGAGACCTACTGTGAGCATAACTTCCCCAAGAGTATCCATCGTCCTGCTCCTATATAGCCTAGTTAATTTCACGACTGGGCTAAGCGGTGTGTGAGGAGCTCACGTGCTATGCGCGGGCACGGCGTTAAATATTATAAATTGAAATATACAAATCTTCTCTACTGTATTAGAATACAAAAGTCTCAGCTCGAAAGTACTTTTGACTTCTTTCGATAGTTCGGGGTGCATGGCAGGTAGGCCTTGGCCCATTTATAACATGTCGGGCTTATTGAAAGGTATCAGCACGTCGGGTAGTTTATGTAGACTGAGCTGGCCAACACGAGACCTTGAGGTTGTTTTTTTTGTTTTGTTTATTATTATTAATTCATTTTATTGTCCTGTCTAAGTCTATGACTATGTAGGACATGCAGGTCCTCTCTGCCTACAGGCCAAGGATACCTATACCAGTAGTATATCCCCTCCTATGCCTCCCATACAGCTCCCCTCAAACAGTACCACCCCTCACAAGTCCTCATTCGATCATACACTAAGAGGAGCCCTTAGCCCTTCATTATCTCCCCTCTCCAGCCAACGAAACGATGGCCATT